TGGGGTTTCAGAGGACCTTTGCTTATTGCCCTGCCTGGAAAAACCTTCCCATCACAAGCCATCCCATCCCAACACTTCCCAACACATCTCACCCCATTCCATCCCATCCCAAAGGCCATGCTCTCCCAGTCTGCCCAGCCTGTGGTTCACAGAGGGAGGCAGCTCATGGGAGGTTCTCTGGACCTCCAGCTGCAGGAGAGGCAGGGAGGCACCCAGGTTGCCCAGCATGAACTGTCCCATCAGCGCCAGTCCCACAAAGGAGACCCAGGGGTGCAAGGGCTGCCAGAGCCCATGGTCCCTTCTCTGAGCTGCTGTGGGAGAACAAGGGGGACCTGCAGGAATGGGGTGCCCTGGGAGACCCAGGCCAAGCAGCCACCACCCCAATGTCCTTTCCACTGGCCATTCCTCAAAACCAACTTCTTTCCCTGAGTCTCACTTGCTGATCACCTGTCCCAGCCCCATTGCCCATCTCCTGGGATGGGAGCTGGTCCAGAGGTGCTGCTCTGCTTTCCTCCTGAGACATGAGATCAGGGAACCCCTCCCAGCTCCCAAAACCATCCCTCACATCAGTGGTGTATAGCAAATGTCCTGCCCAAGGGTGGTGGCAGGGGTGGCTGGACCAGGACAATGCAGTCTGCAGGAGTGTTGGCAGCCCACCTCTTCCCGCAGGACTCAGTGTCTGGCTGTCGGGGCAGAAATGCATTAGGATCCTGCGAAGACAAAATAAAGAGTCCTTTGGGAGTGACTCGGCAGCGCAGCCGGAAGAGACACAGCACAGTTTGCTTTTTAGGAGGTCTTTTTAGTTTCTTTTTTTTTCTCTTTCATTTTATTTTTGGCAGCTGCAATGGCAGCAGGGAGGGAGTAAATGGGCTTGCTCGAGCCCGGATGCATTTGTGGCTTTCAAGAGGCAGAAGTGGCCAGAGCTTGAGAGTCTCTGCGCTGCAGAGGGCATGAGTCACAACCAGGCAGTGGGGCTGGGGAGGGAAGGGAGAGGCAGGGATGGAGGAGCAGGGTGAAGGGATGGATGAACAGGGATGGACTAGCAGACATGCCGGGATGGAGGAGCAGGATGCAAGGATACAGCAGCATGGATGCAGAGTTGGAGTGGTAGAACACTGGGATGGGGTGGCAGAGCTGGAGGAGCTGGTTGTTGGGATGGAAGAACAGGGAGATTGAATGGAGAAGCAAGGTTGGAGGAGCTGGGTGGTGGGATGCAGGAGCAGGATGCTGGGATGGAAGAGCAAGGGTAGAGTAGAAGACATGCTGGGATAGAGGTGGAGGGAGCTGGGATGGAGAAACAGGATGCAAGGATGGATCAGCATGAATGCAGAGTATGAGGGGCAGGACACTGAGGTGGAGTAGCGGGGTTGGAGGAGCAGGGTGCTGGGATGGAGAAGCAGGGAGGATGAATGGAGGAGCAGCTGCCAGGGTAACCCAAAGACCCACCACATTAACCCTCATCTTCTGATGCCAGAAATGAAGATACCTGCTCACACACCACTTGTCCTCACTCCAGGCAGAGAGTCAGGCAGAGTCCATTTCTGTTTCCCTTCCTCATGCCCCTTTTAATACCATCCTCTTCCTCTCAGTGGTATCTGGAGTGGCCGGGGGGGGGGGGGGGGTAGCACCCACTGACCTGGGGAAGCAAACAGCACCTTTCCCTGCTCAGGGGTTGCTCTCCTTTTCCATTTTCCCTCGAAGCAGAGAGCTCAGCCCCTTTCGAGAGCCAGTCCTCACCCACCCAAGATCTCTCATCTCCCGTCTGGCAGCAGAAAGGTGCTTCAACTCCCTGCCTGCACTTGGCAGCAGGCTTGAACCCCTCTGCCCACCAGCAGACACTGGGGGGGGATGCAGTTTGCCCTGCCTGTGCCTCCTGGGTGAGCCCCAGAGCAGCCTGGGTGACAGAGAGCCACAGCGTCTTTTGCAAGAGGCCAGTGGGCTGAGGTCCACCGTCTGGGGCTGAATAAGGCCCCCGAGCTCAGCACTACTACCTCTAAGGGAGGTCCCAGAGCAGAAAGAAGCTGCCAGCAGCTCAGAGCCATGACCAGGGATGCTCCTGGGGCTTGTCTGAGGGGCTCAGCAGGGAGTGGGGAGCGTTTTAGGGAGTAAAGAGATGGATGCCCCCCAGAAGGAAAGGTCTCCTCTGCCTTTTTCCTGGCTCCAGGGGCTGCGGTGGTGGGCGATGCAGCAGCTGCCACCAACAGCTTGTGTTGCATTCTGTTTGCTCACGCCTTGCAGCTCCGGCTGGCGAAGAGAACAGCTTGTATGGGGAAGCAGCAGCACCCTGCCAGACACAGCACCCTGTGAGCCACAGCACCCCACTAGCTACAGCACCCTGCAAGCCACAGCACCCCATAAGCTGCAGCTCCCCATAAGCTGCAGCACTGCTGAAGCCGCAGCACCCCTGAGCCACAACACTGGTGAGCAGACACAAAGCCCCTGTAAATTATCGCTCCAGCTCCGATTTCCTGATGCAAAGAGCAATCGGAGGATGATGTGGTTCTCTTGGCACCATCTTAACTCTCCCATAGGCTGGCAGTGGGGTGCAGCAGACACCCGGAGCCTGGGAGAGGCTTTCACCATGCCCAGAGTGACAGCGGTGCCAGCACATCCCCACCACCAACCCTCACCACGCTGCAGAAATCTTCCTCAACCTGCAAGCCAACTTTATCCAAAGTAATTTTGCTGTTTTTTCTGGATGAGGAACCACCCTGCCTTTGGCACAACCTGCTGAGTAAGTGCATGGATGTATGGAGGAACCACAGATCTGGGGAGCGTGCTGCTGGGGGCAAACAAATCACATCCTTGCCTCCTGTGTGATCAGGATTTCAGCTCTTTTCACTCTTCACCTCCTGGGAAATTGCTGCTTTTCCCTCTTTTTTGCTTTCACTGGGTGCAAAACAGACACAAGTCATCTTCTGGCTGAGCTCAGCATGCTTCTGCCCTGTAGGCAAGCATGCCCTGACCAGGCTGGCTCCGCGCCCTGCTCTTCTGCCCCCCTGCCCTTTCTCACTTCCACAACTTGGAAACCAAACAGAAATGCTCCCCAAGGGGGAGAAGAACAGGGCTGGGAGCCCAGGAGGGCAACTGTCGCCTCCTGGCACGGGGGAAGGTCCCCTGGGAAGCTGCCACTGAGAGTTAGTGTGACCATGGAGCGTCCTCCCTCCCCGTGCCCTGCGTCAGAGCTGTGCCACGCAGTAATTCCCATCCCCGCCAGCCCCCTCGGCACTGTCACCACTGGGGCAGGATTTGTGTCCCAGCCTCCTGCATGTGGGCAGAGCGGGGGGGCAGGACCCTGGGGTCCCTGCAGTGGTGTGGGGGACTGGAGGGACCCGGGCATCCTGTTGCAGTGACACATGTCCCAGCATGCCGGCAGCCCACTTGAGGTGCCAGCACATGTGCAAAGAACAATTGTTCCTCGTTTCAGGTGTCAGCAGCTGGTGAAATGTGTCCTGGGGCCACACGGGCAGGCCGGGATCACTCCCTTTTCCAGGATCTGATCCTGCTTCCACCCAGGACTGTCGTATTTACAGTATTTCTCCTGGAGATCTCCTGTGTTTTGCATGGTGGATGCAAGGGATGGAGCAGAGGATGGAGACACAAAAGCTGACATCAGTGCTGGGGCACCCCAGGGTGCCAGAGATACTCCTGGCCACAGGGACAGCCCCAATGCTACTGCGTTGGGTAGTTCAACCTCCATCCCCTGCACAAAGCATGTAAGGATCCACATGAACACGCATGAGCATCTGTGCAGATGAAGAGTCTGTGAGGCTGTTGTGCAACATGGGAGCGCAGGAGTATGTATGGAGGGACATGTGCATGTGTATTATACTTGTGTTTGTATATGCATACGTATGACTGTGTGTATACGTGCACCTAGATGTGTGTGAGTGTACAAGTACAGGCAAGGGAGTGCGTATGCACATGGGAGTGTGTGTATATGTGCATATGCATGTCAGTGTGCGTGCAAGAGTGGCTGAAGGGTTTCACATGGGAGTGTGCATGAGTGTGAACATGTGTAGCTATGCACCTCCATGTGCATATACATCTGAGTATGTGTGCACGTACGTGTGTGCAAGTATAGGTGAAGGGGTGCACACAGGCATCTGTACGTGCATGAGTGTGCATGTCCATGTGCATGGAGGGGTGTGTGTGTGCATAAATGTGAACATGTGTATGTGTGCGCCTCTGTGTGTACATGTATAAGAGTACAAGTGCATGAATGTGTGTGCAAGTGTGGCTGAGGGGGTGCACATGGGTGTGCCTGTGTGTGCATGAGTATTTGTGTGTATGTGAGTGAATATACACAGGAGTGTCTGTGTTCATGCAACCATGCACATGTGTGTGCCTCTCCGTGCATACACATGTACAAGCATGTACACAAGGGTGTACAGGGGTGCCTGAGTGTCAGTGGGTGCACACCCTGTGTAGGGCATGCTGGTGCCCCTGGATACTGGTACCAGTACTGGTGCGGGTACAAATGCCAGTACCAGTGCCAGTGTGCGGGCGGGGTGCAGGTGTCAGTACCGGTGCTGGTGTGGGTGCTGGGTTGTGCCACTGTCTGTGCAGGTGTCACTGCCGGTACCTGTGCAAGTGCAGGTACGAGTACCAGTGCCAGTGCCAGTACAGGTGCAGGTGCAGTGGGGTGTGGTCGTCAGTGTCGGTGTCAGTACCGGTGCTGGTGAAGATGCAGGCGCCAGTGTCTGTGCGGGTGTTGATGCCGATACCGGTGCAGGTGCCAGTACCGGTGCTGGGCAGGTGCCGGCGTTGGTGCAGCTGCGGAGTGTATCAGTACCGGTGCGGGCGCCAGTACCTGTGCGGGGAGCTGCCGGTCCCGGTGCCGATGCAGGGCGCTGCGGGTGCCTGTGCGGGGCGGTCCCGGTGCGGGTACCGGTGCGGGTGGGGTGCGGGGCGGTGGTGCTGAAGGACAGCTCCGCCCCCCCCTCCGCCCCTCCCGCCCCCCGCTCCTCCGCCGCTCCGCGCCGGGCCGGGCCGGGCCGGTCCCTCTGCCGCTGCCGCCGCCGCCGCCGCCGCCGCCATGCCCCAGCCGGCCCCGCCGCCCGCCGCCGCCGCCGCCGCAGCATGAAGCGGCAGAACGTGCGGACGCTGGCGCTCATCGTGTGCACCTTCACGTACCTGCTGGTGGGCGCCGCCGTCTTCGACGCTCTGGAGTCGGAGGAGGAGACGGCGGAGCGGCGGCGGCTGGAGGCCAAGAGCCAGGAGCTCAAGAGCAAGTACAACCTGAGCGCCGAGAGCTACCGCGAACTCGAGTGGGTCGTCCTCAAGCTCAAGCCGCACAAGGCCGGCGTCCAGTGGAAATTCGCCGGCTCCTTCTACTTCGCCATCACCGTCATCACCACTATAGGTACAGTCTTCCCGGTGTTCCTGCCAGTCCCGGATACCCTCCTCCGCCTCCCGGCTGCGGGACGCCGGCTCGGGTCACCCCCCACCACCACTCTCTCCTCGGTGCAAACCTTCCCCGAACCCCCGGCCGTACCCGTGGTATCGGGGTGACCCAACCGCTCTGCTTCTCCACTACAGGGACCCCCCCCAGCCCGTTTCCGTGGTATCAGGGTGACCCGACTCCGTGGTTCCTCCGCTACCTGGACCTCCCCCCCCCGCCCGTCCCCATAGTATCGCGGCGACCCGCCTGACCGGATACTCCGCTACCGGGACACACACTGCCCCGCCCGTCCCCGTAGTATCGCGGCGACCCTCCCTCCAAGCCCCCGATATCCCTCGGAAAGCCCCTTCAGCACGCTCCCCAGAACACCCATCCCCGCAGCGGCAGGCGCATCCACCTCTGTTACCACGAAATCCTCGCTCGACCTCCGCCCGTCCCCCCGGTACCGGGGCGACTCTCCCGAAGGGGAGACTCTCTACCACCGGAAAATCCCAGCCCGGATCCTCCCGAAATCTCCCTTTCCCGTAGCGTCAGGGCTACCCGATCTGGCCCTAGCTCCGCTGCCCTGGGAACCCCCCGCCCAGACCTCCGCCCATCCCCACGGTATCGGATCTACTCGCTAGTCCCGCTTCCCAGCCTTGGAGCCCTCACCGGACACTCCCTTTCGCGCCCATCCCCGAGGCATCGGGGATGCTTCCTGCCCACCCTCTCCCACCTCCTCGTCCTAGGGGAACAGCAACGTGCCCATCCCCGTGGTCTCTGGTGTCCCCGCTGTCTAGGCACCCCTATCCGTGCAGCCTCTGGGCTCCTCACAGTCACATTCCCCCGTTTTGCCCCCCCCCCCCCCCACGGACCGGGGGCCCGTCACCCCCACTCCCTCACTCCACTCCAGCTTAGGGGGACGGTCTAAGCTAGGACCTGCGGGGTCCAGCCCTGCGGGGGGCAACGAATGCTGGGGGGGTGGGGGGGTGGGGTGTCCCACCAGGGCTGTGGGACGGAGGAGGAGGAGAGAGGTCCCCTGAGGACAGGGGTCCCTCGTAGCCCATCTCCTGCCCCTCCTGGGGGATGGATCCCTAGACCGGGGGACCCGGTGCCCCCTTGCTTGCACAGATTCACTGCCCTAACAAGGGAAATATCAGCGTTGCACCCCTATGCTCAGAGTGCTCCTCCTGACTCAACCTGGGCATGCTCAGGTCGTCAGGAATCAGGGTCCCTGAAGAGATGCTGCTGGAGACTGCTGGGGACTGCTGGGGGGGGGGGCGTCCCCCAATTTAGGAGAGGGGCTGAAGGAGCCTGGGGGGCTGCAGGGTCCCCCAGGGCCCAGACCAGTTGGATTGCCAGCTCATCTGTCCTTGGGTGCCCTCGATGGGGACCTGCCATCCCCTGGTCCCCAGACTGGTTGGCTGCTGGTTCCCGAGGCTCAGGCACGGGTGTCAGGGTGTTGGTTCCGGGGCTGACACACGGGTGTCGGGGTGGCCGTGGCTGAGTGGCGGCAGGGTCTGGCCCTTCCCTGCTGGCTGGAGCAGCTGGGAAAGGCTCTGGAAGTGAAGCCAAGCAGCTTATGTTTGACGTGCGAGGGAGGAGGAGCGGGCAAGGGGGTGCGCGGGGGGCTGGGGCGAGGAGCGAGCGGGAAGCGAGCAGCGTCTCGCTAGCCCACACAAAGGATGCTGCAGTGACGGAGGAAGGAGACAAAGCCGGGCCGGTGGGCACGGTCCTGAGACTGTAGCTCAGCACCGGGCTGCGGGCAGGCGAGGGGGCTCTGCCATGCCTCCCCTGGACACCCCCTGCCCTCCCCTACCTGCAGCTGCCCGGACCCCGAAGGAATGGAGGAGAGGTGGCTGAGCCCTGATGCAGGCGTTACACCCCAGCAAAGCATCCTGCCGCCTGCAGAGGGGGTTAAAACCCTGATCCCTTCATTTGGAGTGTGTTGTGGGATCTCAGGGGCCGCTCTGGGGTTGGGGTGATGACACCCAGGCCCCTAAAACATGTCTGGCCACAGCAGAGCGAGAGGGGGATGCAGAGGGAATGTCCCCAGACTGTGCTCTATTGCTCTGCTGGCATTAAGCACTTCTCTCCCAGCAGCTTCAGCTTTTCCGTGATGTCCAAGAGTCCATAGAGAAGGGGCACAGACATAACTAGGTACAGCCATGGTGGTTGATCAAAGTCTGAGGAGTCAGAAGGCAGGTGGCCTGTGGCAATCGAGCTTGAGTGTACCAGCAGCAAGAGCAAAATCATCAAAAGCCACTGCTGTCAGGGAAGACAGGAAAGAAAATTCCATTATTTCCATGAAATGGGATTTTCCAGTCGGGAGGAGGCATTCTCCCAGGAAATCAGCCACCAGTCCCTCTGTAAAGCTCCTGTTGCAGTTGGGGATGGTGAAGAGTCAAGCTCCCATGGCACTCCGGAGGCAATCGGGATATCAGGTCAAGATCTCCATGCCAGGGCCAGCTTTAAAATGGGAAGAGGGGAAAGCTGGGAGGGCAACAGGTCCCACTCGGAAAGTTTTTCCTACATTTCAGGGCTTTTTGAGCTTTTTTCCTTTATCTGGGAAGGGAGCCAAGAGGCAGCTGCTCTGAAGGTCTCCCACAGTCCCCACTCCCTCCACAAGGCTGCCCTGCACCCTGCTAGTAGGGTGCAGCCCCACCGGTGCCTGGAGACCCCCAAACCCCCCCAGAGGGGGACCAAGGACTGGAATGTTTAGGTTTGCTGTCCCCCACTCCGCAAAGCCGGGGGGCAAAGGGAGCCACAGGGCTTGCAGGGATGGCGCTCACCTGTCCTCACAGCAGAGCTGGTCCCCAGGGTCCCCTTGTGGGATGTCAGCATCAGCAGGATGTGTCCCCTGTCACCTCCGTCCCTGTCCCCACACCACAGGCCTCCGTGCTCCAGGGCTGGCTGTGATGGCTCTCTCTGGATCACTCCCAAAAGACACATCCTCCCCCTCCTTCCTCCCCGGCTCGCTGTGTGCAGAGGCAAGCGGCCATCTGGGCCGGGGCAGGTGGCAATGCCACCATGGTGTCACCATCTGTCACAGCCCTCCTCCTGCCCCACTTGTTTATCAACGGAGCAGGGGCCCTGGGGTGAGACCAGGTCCTCTGTGACCCTCTTCGGTATGGGCTGTCCCTGTCTGTCACCCCATCTCCCCCATCTTGGGCTGCCCCCTATGGTGGCAGTAGGCCTGACCTCACTCCATCACATTCACACAGGAAGCCCTTACCCTTCCAGCACCAATGGGAAGTGAAGGACCTCAATTCTCTGGCTTTGGGAGATGCAGCAGAGGGAAATGTCTCAGGGAAGGCATGGGAACCACTGGAACAAGGAGGAGGTTGAAGCAGTCTGGGGGCTGCAGTGGGGCTGGTTGGAGGGAACCCACTCCCTCTGGGCCCTCTGGACATTTCTGTTCCCATCCTGTACTAGCCATGCCTGCTAAAAGAGATAGCAGTAGAAATTAGTGCTGGCACATTTGATAGGTTTCAGAGTTAACGTGCCGGAGGGAAAAACTGTCCCATTGTGTTCCAGGGTTGGGATATCTCTCCCTTCAGCCCAGTGCCCCACGGGACATGATGCCCAGTGTGTGACCCCAGTCCCATTACAGGCAGTGGAAAGGGACAGGCAGCTTCTTACCCCTTCCAACCCTGTGGCTCCTTGGTCACTGGGGCGAGGTGGTCCTTTGAGTGCTCCAGCCATGCTGCAGGGGCTGGCAGAGAGCAGCACTGGGCAGCTGGGATCGCTTTCCTTCCCCTCCAGTTAACCATCAGGCCAGCCCTCGCCTGTGGTATGCTGGTATTGCTCACTAGGGTGTTCACTCTGAAACCTAATGAGGGTATACACCCTTCTGCCATTGACTCTTATTGCAGGGAGCACGAAGAGGGTGAATGGGGAGATGGAATGTATGCAGAGACCAGAGTCATCCCTGAGCCCTTCCCAGCAGCGATGTGTGTTTTAAGGGTGCAGCCCACTGCCCCAGCAGCCTTCCTTGCTGGGGCTCAGTGCCTTTGCCAAGGGGGCAGAGCCTCTTCCCAGGGTGGCTCCAGCAAACCTGTGGTGTGACAGCATGGGGTGTCCTCTCCCATGGGATTCTGCCCATGGACCCTCTGAACGGGGGGCTTGGCCCTGCTGGCCGGATCACTGCCCCTTTGCGAGCATCCCTCCCTCCCTCCCATCCCCCTCTCCTGCCCAGGCTATAAATTCCATGCTCCTCTCCATCCCGAAGCGATAACAGCAATTAATACCCGCTCCCTCCCTCTGCCCCCCTGCCTGGCCTCTCCCAGCTGATGCCTCATTAAACTCGCCAGTAAAGCCTGACTCAGAGCAAGGCATAAACACCACGCGCAGGGCAGAGATGCTCCAAGGCGAGGGGGGCGTCAGGCAGAATGGGGCCAAAAATACTCAATTTCTTTGGGTTTGGGTTTTTTTTCCCCCCTGGTTTCCAAGCCCCAGGTCTGGCTGCTTCGTCTCGGTGCTGCCAAGTCTAGTGCCAAGAGGACAGACTGGAGCTGGAGGCGGCGGGAGAGCCCTGCTCTGCTGGGGTGTGATTTATGGGCCAGCTTAAATATTTATCAGGCGGCTCTCAGGCTGAAGTGACTGAGGCGCGGGATTTATAGCGGGCACCACCACCTTGGATAAATCACAGCAGGAGGGTTAATTGAAGGAGCAAGAGTGGAGCGTGCTGCAGCAGGGAGGGGGTCTGCCTGCTGAGAGGGGAGAAGGAGAGTGGCCATGGGTGCACGGTGCTGAGCACTGGTGCATGATGATGGTGCACGGTGCTGGGCACTGGTGCACAGCACTGGGCACTGGTGCATGGCACTGCTGCACATTTCTGGGTGCCTGTGAATGGTGCTGGGCACCGGTGCATGGTGCTGGGTGCCATTGCACACCCCTCCACACCTTGCTCTTACCCAAACAAAGCTGGGCACCAGGAGGAAGGAACCACATCCTGCTTTTCACACTGGAGACCCTGGGTG